AACAAATTTCTTGACTTTTTACGCTAAATATTTTGATGAAAGTGAAATGTTAAATATTTCTATTTCGATCTATTTTATCAGTTGTGTGCAACCATTAAAAATGCAAAATGCATTATTCTAACTAATTAAGTCTAAGGGTAAGTGGTTGCTTTTACAGTTGCTAAGGAGGTAGAGAAGGTTATCTGTTAGTTAGTATAGGAATTGGTGATTTGAGCCCTCCAGTCTGCATTTCAAAGTGGGTTAACAATCAGTGTCTTGATATCATGTTCACATTTTTGCACCAGTTGTTATTTGTGTATAGGCAAACACTGCCTCCTCGTGATTTACCAATAAGAGCTCCTATCTGCCTGGAATGCTGTTGACCCCACTATGCTAACAGTGTTTTCAGAAACAGAGATTCAGCCAAGTCGCTGTAAATATTTTAGCACAGTCCCTCATGCCATGTTGTGTAGTTAAGTCCAGCCTTAGATAGTCCGGTTTATTCTCCAAGGAGCGAACGTTAAAAAAATGTTAAAAACCTGCGTTTTACACAGGTTAGCCTTTAGCTTAGCAGTTAGCCCTGCTCTATGTCTCCTCCACTGTCAGATGTTACTGGTGCGAAGCTCAGTTGCTTCCTGGAAGTAGCCGGCGTAGTATACCGAGCCTATGTAGAAGATCCAGAGTGGTCGCACCTACTCCATCTATTGTTTAAGCTTTAACGGTGCTATCATCAGCCAGTGCAGCTGCAGCTTAACAGGGCACCACTATCATCATCATATTAATAAGATGTATTGATGTTCACCTAAACTTTTGTTTATCTAATTTGAAGACCGACTCAAGACCTGATGATTTCATTAACACCTTAAGAGGCTAAGTGGATGAGTCAGGGACTCACCAACCCAATCAGCTGACATGCTTTTTTATATTTCCTGTGAAGCCAGGAATATCTGTGCTAATCATTTTTCCTTTTTCTGTTTGAGATAGAAAAAGTACCGTGACTTCCGCCTTCAAGGGGTACTGGACTCTACGCTAAACACTAAGATGTACGAAACTGTAAGAAACCGACTAACCTTGGAAGAAGCCACGGCATCGGTGAAAGAAGGAGGGATGCAAGGCATTTCAATGAAGGACAGCGATGAAGAAGATAACGATAACTAGATCAAAAGAGTTGAAATAATAATAATAATTTCAGTGTTTTGGTATACTGCCTGACAGTCCACACCAGTCCTTCTATAGAGTCACAATAATTTGGCCTGTTCCCTCCATTGCTTGGTTTTAGTTTTTCTGTTGCCAATACTTCCACAATTCTGTTAAATTTATGACATTTATTATTATGTTTATACTATTATGTATCTTTAAAGACCTTCAAGTGTGTCAGTAATCATCACTTAAAATCTTCAAAGCTAAATTTCCAAATAATTAAGGCTAGTACCTAAATTATCTTTTGCCTTAATTATTTAGTCTTTGTATTCTGTTCTTGTTTATACTTTGAGAAATACACAGTGTTGTCTCTACACTTCTGCTGGAAAAACTCTCAAGTGATTTAGGCCATTATACTGTGATTTCAAGAAAAACAGTAAAACTAATACTTGTCTGTCTATTCCAAAGTCTGCCTGCAAATGCAGGATGAACTTTGCACTGTCAAATTCACATTGTGTCTGATGGAAGTGTCGCCAGAAAATATGGATATTTATTTGTTGGTATTCACCTGACCCAAAACAGCTAAATTAAAGCATTTAGAAGTTTTTTTTAATGTTTTCCACCAATATGGATGAGCGTTTTCTTTCCATATGATATGACTATGTTATACTGAAAAAGTAATTATCTTGTTTTGCTGCACCAGATGTGAAAGTGATTTAAATTGTCTTCCTTTGTAATGGTTCAGCAACATTTCTCAGCTAAAAAATCAAATTAACGTTTTTTTACATTATGTGATGTTACAGGATGTGACAGTGACGGTTTTGCAGGCTCTAAAACATGCTTTGTAATTGCCAACAGCAAATGTGAGACAACAAAAGAAATTCAGCACATTATCAACAGTAAGACTGGTGGTCACATAGAATCGTTTTACACCAACAAAAAATATACATTTGAATACATTTTTAGAAACCCTATCGCTAGTGTCATATGATAGGAACTGTGTCAGATTTTCAGGATGTAACAAGTGTTAGAGGTTCAACATTACAAGTGTTTGGTTCAGTGTAAGAATCAAATGATTCCTGTCTAGTAATCTAAATCTAAATGTCATGTGGAGTATGGAAGGGGAGAATGTGGATTCGGAGGACAGGGTTCAAAAATGGACCTTTATTTAAAGCTGACAGGTGAAAAACAAAGTCAAAAAATAATAGTGGCAAGTGGCAGTAAACAATGTCCACAATGTCTAACACACAGAGAACAAACCCTACAAAAACACAAAAATGGGGGTTCAAATATACACAGAGGTAAAACAGCAGGGAACACAGATGGAACGAATCAGGGAAAACAAGACAAAAGAAGTAGGAAAACCCAAATAATTCAAACTAAGAAGGCCCGAGAATATAAACACAAACAGAAAACCAAACAAGATTTCAAGAACAAAGCAGTAAACGCTGAATGGAAACTGGAGGGTGTTCTCCAACTACAGGGGTGGAATCACACTCCTTACTTTCCCTGGGAGTGTGGACTGGAGAGAAGAGTTAGTCTGTTAGTCGAATTTTGGATACAAGAGGATCAGTGCGGTGTTTGTGGTTTTCATGGAACACTGAACCAGCTCTTTATTCTCTCAAGGACAATTGAGGGTGGGAATTTGCCCAACTAGCCTACATGAGATTTGTGGTAATTTGTCCACATCCCTCGGCGTATCCTGGAGTATGTGGTGCCTGGTCCATTGCTATGACCTGTTTTATCCCTCTATAATCATTGCACGAGCTTTGTTTGCAAGTCGGCAATAAGTCGGACTCATTCCTGGAGCGTATTGGACTCCACCAGGGCTACCCTTGTCACTGACTCGCTTTGTAGTTTTTATGGACAGGTTTTCTAGGCGTAGCCATGTGGCAGAAAGCTTCCACTTTTGTGGCCTCAGAATCTCATCTCACCTTTTTGCAGATGATGTGGTTCTTGTTGGCTTCATCAGCCAAGTGTGAGTCATTGGGAATGAGAATCAGGACCTCCAACTCTAAGGCCATGGTCTCAGCTGGAAAAGGGTGGGGTCCCTACTCAAATTCAGGGACGAGTTACAACCCTAAATGGAGGAGTTTAAGTATCTTGTTGACACGTGACTAAAGAAGGGAGCTTGACAGACAGATAGTAGGCCGGAGCTGCAGTAATGCAGACGCTGCATCAGACCGTTGTGGTGAAGAGAGAGCTGACCTCTTGATTTATCAGTCAATCTGCGTCGCATGCTATCTACGTGCTCAGACTGGTGATCCAAAATTGAGGAGCTCATTTATGTTAATGTACTTATACTCCTAAACTAAAAGTTTTGAGTATTATGGATTTGGCTTTCCACCAATTGACAGAGCTAGCTGGTTTTCTTTTATTGCTAAACTTGGTGCCTAAATAACAGTGAAATAAAAAAAAAATTGCATGTAGCAAAATATCAAGATGTCAAATTTAAGCAATATGCTATTATTATGTTATTATGTATTTGCCCTGCAAAAAAATGGCTTATATGTCACAGATGCAGCCAACAGAGAGCTGGTAGAGAGCTTGTACTGTTAGAGTATAATTGTACTTTTTGTTTTTGTTTATTTATTTTTGGGGGTAAATCGATAAAATAAAAAAAAGTATGGGGTTATGGATGGTCCCTGAACATTTACAACATGAAACAAAATATGGAGTGCATAATCAGTTCAACATATGTAGTTGGACTTAAATGAGGCACACCTAAATGTTATTAATCTTTCAGTGCACCAGATTTTTTGCATGACTTGAAATTGTGGCCACAAAATAATGTGAAGGAATAATGTGTTAAATATCTGTATGTGTGTGTTTTGTGCAGTAGAACTGGAAGACTTGTGAGTTCCAGGGTCATCACAATACACACAATCACTTTTTCCCTTTACAAAGTAAATGATGCACTGCCAGTAATTTCAGTATTTGGTTAAACAGCCTACAGATAAATATATGAGCAGCACAAGCTGTGTGCATTCGTTTGAACATCAACCTTGCATCTCTGGCTTTTCCTAACTTTGTTTGGTTTATGTATATAGTACAGCAATACACTTGTAGTTTGATTTTTAATTACACTTCTAGAGCAATTTTTTCAACATTTTTCGCATTTTAAATTTTAGAGCAAATCTTTTTTTAGTCGACTATATGTTTAAATAATACAGTTTATTTCCATTTGTTGTTTGTTCTTGATAAAGTTTCCTATATGTCCCCGAGGCTCTATTGCAGCATCTATGAGGGAATTAATCGTCATTTTTATAATGGACGACAAGAAATGACGTTTCCTACAACTTTGCTTTTCTCAGTTGTGTTCTTTACCTTGAGTTATGTGTCATACTGTATGTAAGAATTGCATGGACCTGGTATTTATTTCCCAAAGTGTTTTTGCTCCATGTGTGATGTTACTGGGGGGTTCACCTTCTGCCTTCTTGAAAAATCCACTGAGGCCAAGAAGATTTAAATAAAAGTCATTGGAAAGTGTAGCAAGAAGTTTACAGCTCATTTATTTTTGTCTTCAATGTGAATTCACATTGTGAACTGTAAGAATGTGACCCAGGAGGGGGGAGAGGAAACAAAGTGAAAGAAATAACAACAACAAAATACATATTTGTTAATCTGTGCCCATAACCTCCTGACTTGCTCCACAGCAGCATTTTCTTAAGACACAGAGTCTTAGATTAATTCTGTGGATTAAAGTCATCTTGAGCGTTTATAGTACCACCCTGAAGGAGATTTAGCTGCATTGACCAAAATCAAATCCAGAGCTGAAGATGAACGCTATGACTAAATTCGAGGAGATTAGATATAATATCATTCCAAATTAAAAGAGGACAGGATATCTCTTAATTAATCTATAGACGGGAAGGCACTGGGAGGGGGGGGGTGCTTGCGTGTTGGGGAGTGGCGGGGGGATGTGGGGGTGAAATCCTTCTTAGAATATGAGGAAAACAAGGTTTTTGGTAAGAACAAGGTCCATCTAATCCCTGGGTGATCCACATGCTCACTGTGATGACTTTGTCATCAGACACACTAGTCTGTCTGTATTCAGTTTGTTTAAAGGATTTGGACGAGTGCAGAAATAAATAACTTCATAATATCAGCACTTATCATGTGATAACTATATGGAAATTAAATGTATTTCTGCCAAAATAAATTAAAATTTATTTGGGGAATCCATTAACCTCCTAGGACCTGGTGTCCACATATGTGGACATCACATTTTGGGTTATTTAAACCAAAATGATAAATTTTGCTCTACATTATTATAGAGCAAAATTTATTATTATAATAAATTTATTATTTTATAATTTTATACTGCTACTGTTCTATCGAAATTTTAAACGAATATCCTCATACGTGGCTCTCATTTTTCTTAGAAACAAAAATCAGGTAAAAAAAAAAAAAAATCAGGTAATTCTTTGTTTTTACATTCATCAGGTCCCAATATGCCAAAATATCAAAGAGAAATTAAAAATGCTGCCGTGGAAGAGTTCGGGTCTTAGGAGTTTATTCTTTTTTAAAGTAACACTTTACAACAATTGTTATCGCGTGGGGCTTTATTTTGTAAATTAAAGACCAAAGTTATTATAGTTACCTAAAACTAAATTAAAACAGGATGTAAAAAGTACAAATGTACAAAATGTAAATAAAAGTTAGAATTTTGAAAGACTGAAATGATTTTGTGAACTTGGAAAAGAAAACAATTTAAAATAAATTAATATAGGAAATAGCTTTAGTTGTAGTTTTTGTTAGTTTGGTAAATGCATTTCAAAAAGTTGTGTTAGTGCGTTTTTAAAAAATATTGTCTCATATATGATCCCGCCATACAATAATAATCAAAAGACTAAACAAAAGCTACATATTTTTAAACAACTGACACTGAAACGAAACTGAATTAAGAACAAAGAGTCAAAGCCTAATGTAACTTTGTTTACATTCGCTTGTCTCTGATTTTTGCTGTTGTAAAATATGTAAAAGGTGCTTTGAGTGGCCAGACTAGTCCAGAAATTTCTTGGAGACAAATGTTAAATAATTTCAATATAAATAATAATCTTTTGCATATGAACAGACAGTGTATGAAATAAGCCGTGTGCTTAAACATCTAAAATCTGTGTGATCTGCATGTGATTGAAATGTGTTTTTTTAATATCAACTGAAAGTCTGTGAAGTCTGGACTGGATTTCATGAACGTTCACTATAAGAACACAGAAATATCTGTCGGGTATGTGTATGCCACCTCACATCAGAGGAACTTCAATGAATGAATCAATGTCTACACTTTAGACTGGTTTCCACTGGTGAGGGCAGATTCAATGGTGTCATGTTAAACAATGCCAGCATTTTCATACACTCCGAGTAACAAAGGGATTTTTAGTTACATTCTTCATTATAGTGTGTGTCCAAGAAAGCTTTCTATTCCTTAAAATATCAAACACTGAATATGCTCCAGCGGTCGTTGTTTTGGTGAATACTATTTTAAAGGCTATCATCGCAATGAAAATGAAAAGGAGCTATTTGAGTGGAGGAAATGCTCTTTACCTCCACAAAGACTATTCCCTCACATCCTATATAGTAAAAGTAATCAAGAGCAAAGACACAAAGCAGCCTACCTATTTTAACATCCCATCTGCAGTGTGGGTGAGTTGCCTTAGAATCATTCATTTAATTTCCCCATGAATATCCAGACACGATTGGACAGTTCTGTGTGAGAAATGACACCAGGACAGATTAATGGGCCTGGAGATTTATGCTGGCACGATCTGAGCTGCTTTGGCTTTTAAGCTCCAATCAAGTGTGGAAATGGAAAATGATAAGTGTATCAAAATAAAAAGAACCTCCAACTGACCATCACAGTGAGAACTAGCCCCGAATCGTAGTGCCGACAGGCTGCCGCTGTGCTGTGGGGAGTTGTGCAGTAATATGGATGTGAGACCAAGGCATTGCAACACACTGAGCCCATCAAGCCATCGCTGACATGATATATGTGGATAATGACAACAGGAAAATGAAAAACGGAGACAGAAAGCAGCCCACGTGTAGACATTCAAGCTGCCAAATAAATTAGTCTGTGATTTGTTGTGAAGAGGCCTTTCATTTACAAAGCTTTTCATATCGTCCTTAAAGGTAAACAATATCCAAACAGAGAAAGCCTGCTGCCCAGGAGACAAGGTTATTTTTGTACGACTGCTTTGCGTGCCAGAAGTGTCAAAATTGCCTGCCATTTGCGAGGGCAGGTAGATGTCAGATCCTTTTAATAAAAGCAGCCCCTAAAGCCTCTTATGTTTCCCTCCCCATGCACCAAAACCTTCTTATCATGGCCTTAAGAGGGTACAACAGCCCACTGATTAATTTTAGATCTGTTCTGTGAAAAGAGTAGCTTACAGTTTAAAGTAATCTCACACAATGTTCAGACAAGACATCAGAGCAGATTTTGTTATTCATTGGCAGTGAATAATACGCAGGACTGTTTGTCCTGCTTCACCATCAAATACAGTCAAGCCCATATGCAGATCAACAGTATTACATTATTACAGAGTCTGTCCATCGAACATTTTGCTGTACCCCTACCAACTTCCTCTAAAGACAGAAAATAGTTGCATTAAAAAGAAACAAGAATGAAATTTGGGTTGTTTTGTTTTTGTTTACGTCTTCTTACCTGGATTAACTGAGCTTGCCGCAGCGCATCTCTGAATGCTGCGGCCAAGAAGGACTCCTTTCCAACAAATCGCATTTTACATATGTTGTTGATAGAGACAGAAGTTGTAGGTGTTCGTGTGCAGTGGAGGGACATTTAAATTTATGTCTGCACCCTCAGACACAAATCTCCTCACTAACGAAGCAAAAGTGCAAAAATAGGAAGTGCCACTGGCATCTTAATAAAATCAAAATAAAACCTC